ACACTTTAAGATCTTGTTGATTACATCTATAGGTATCATCCTTGAATTGTTGTAGATCATAAAAAAATATTTCTTAAATGTTATATAAGCTAATGCCCCAATATCTGATAGCCAGAGGTCATCACTTGAGCTGTTAATAATACTCACACTTTTTGCATCAAATGCTAGCATGTTGCTGTAGTTTTCAGTTAATTCGTTTTTTTTTTGTGTCTGACACTTTACAGCAAAGTCTCCACGTTTGACACAGTTGTAATAAATAAAGCGATGGCCTTGTGATATATTTTTGACTGAGTTTTCCTGTTGTGTTACAAGGGCAATCTCATTTTGCTATTCTGATGATATATTGTTGTCTTCATCAAGCAATCGAGCAGTGAGGTTATGTAGTGGAGGTTTGTTGTTTTGGATCTAATGCCGTCCATGCCTGGCGCAATGAGTATTACTTAGATGGTAATGTGCTGACAATTTTAATAATTAATGCTGTTCCACTAATACTTTCACCACTTTCATCCTTTTCCATTGCTATTCCAATCCTTCTACTTTCGAAAAGTGTTGAGCCATTAAATCACAAAGACTAATTTTATATTGATAAAATCGTCCATGAATCATAATTTTATTGACCTCAGATTTTCCGTGGAATTTTTTGTGTGGAATCTGTCGGATATTGTGCGCGAACTTGGAACAAATGAGCAATGTGTTCGACATAATTACGACAAATGGCTGGCTGTTTCTAAAGGAAAGAAAGTGCGGCAAACATTATGACAAAACTAACATCAAAATATCCTACTCAAGTGGCTGCAAATCCTTTGGTAAGTTCCTATCTGCTAAAGCATCCTGTAAGATATGTCCTATAAGAAAACAATACTTAAGCACAAACACAATATGTAATTTTAACAATTACTGTAGAGAGGTAGTTGTCATATACTAACTCGAGAAACAAAATCAATTTTCTGGAAAGATTGGTGGCCCTGGTAAAATTGTACAAATTGATGAGAGCAACTTTGGAAAATAAAGGTAAATATAAGTGTGATTATGTTTTCACCTTTATTTTTTGTCATATAAATCTCTATAATTAATTTTATTTTTTGTAGGACGTTACATAGAAGGCCACTGAGTGCTAGGTATGATAGAATATGTGTCTGAGGATCTCAGACTAGAGTTGTGCCCGGACAATATTAGATCTGCTGATGTGCTGGTGCCGCTCATACAGAAACATGTGAGGGCGGGTACCACAGTTCGTACCGATTATTGGCGGGCATATGATTGCTAGGCAGAACACTGGTGCACCCATAGAAAGTTAATCACTTGTATCCAGACAATCCATTTTTAGCTGAAGATATAAACTACACACTCTTTACACTAATATTATCTCCAGTACCTACGACATAATAATCTTAACAGAAACTTGGTTGCGTGATGACATCTCCGATAGTGAATACATTGATTCTAGGTATCAGGTGTTTAGGATGGATCGGGACCGATTGACCAGTGGCCGGCGCGATGGAGGCGGCGTGCTTGTGGCCGTGTCGCGAGCGCTCTGTGCTACTGCACTCGCGCTGCCCACCGCCGACGTACCCCTCCCGCCTCTTGTTGACCAGATGATGATTCAACTCAACATAGGAAAACGTAAACTGATTATTTGCGCTGTGTATGTCCCACCTAAACAAAACTACGACACATACCGTGCTTATTTAGAGTTTTTACACAGCGCGGTGCATGATTTAGATACTGACATTTATATAATAGGTGACTTTAATCTGCCTAGTCTAAAGTGGGAAAATAAAGGCATTTTCACTCAACCAATTATAAATTCTGATATAACTCCCACGCACAGATACTTAATTAACTTTATGTCATCACCTGAATGTTATCAATTGAATTCGTTAAAAAATAAAACAAATAATATAATAGACTTATGCATCAGTAATAATTTAAGTAGTTGTACCTTTTGTTGAGTAATTCAAACGCTTGAAAAATAAAAACTATCTCAAATATTGTTACAAACACGCGGAATATGCAAAAATTAATGAAGAAATAGCAAATACTGATTAGAATCTTCTCTTTATGGAAAAAGAAGTAGGAGAGGTAGTTTCTAATTTCTATGAAAGGATATATGCCATAATAAAAAGACATGTGCCCACAAAAATTATTAAATTATCACTTTTTCCAAATTGGTTTACTCCCGCACTTAGGTATTAATTTATATAAGAAAAAGGAGCAAGCTTATTGTATTTTTGCTATACACAGAAAACAATTTAAAGAAATGTCGGATCGGCGTTATAAAGCTTACCTCAAACATGTAGAACACAGTATAAAAAATAATATAAAATTTTTCTGGACATACATTAATAATCGTAAAAAGAATTCAGATATTCCCAACACAATGTACTACAAAAACGTAACTGCCAATTCACCTTCTGAAGTATGTAGTCTTTTCTCAACGTTTTTCCAATCAGTATTCGAACCTTCATTTGTACCAGACAACTTTGAAATTAAAGATATTAATATAGATAACCGTCAAACGCCTGATACCTTAATCTGTAGTGTAGACATTTCAAAGGAAGAAGTTCATGCCTCAATTAAAGTGCTTGATGTTAATAAAGGTGCTAGAGTTGATAACATTAATGCCTATTTCTTGAGACAGACTGATGATACTAATTGATACTATTGATGAACCTATATGCTATTTATTTAATAAATGTTTACGTGATGGTGTTTTTCCTAAGATCTGGAAATCAGCCAGAATCGTTCCTGTATATAAAGAAGGATCCAAGAAAGACGTAGAAAATTATAGGCCTATTTCTATTTTGCCTACCCTGTCGAAGCTTTGCGAAAGATTAGTACATAAATCTATTTACCCATGTGTCCATAGTTCCATTTTACAGCAACAACATGGAATCGTTGAGCGTCGTTCCACGATTACTAATCTACTTATTTATACAACGGATCTCTTTGAAGGACTAGATGCAAATAAACAGATTGACAGCGTGTACACTGATTTTCGCAAAGCTTTTGACAGGGTAGATCATAAAATTCTCCTTGAATAGATAGCCTTTAATGGTATACGAGGAAACCTTTGGAGTCGGTTTAAATCTTACATGTCGAATAGAACTCAAAAGGTCGTTATTAAGGGATTCAAATCTCCAAGTGTAAATATAAGTTCAGGTGTACCACAGGGTTCCATTCTTGGCCCTCTACTATTCGTATTATTCATTAACGATATTAATAAATGTTTTGATCACTGTAAGTTTCTTCTTTATGCAGAAGATATAAGATTTACAAGATTGACACAGATAACACAATGACCTGAATCAACTCTCTTTATATTGCAGTGAAAATAATCTTGAAGTTAGCATTGATAAATGCAAATCCATAACTTTCACAAGAAAGAGAAATGTTAGTAATTATTTTTATTCACTTTGCGGAATAACCTTAAGAAAGGAAAACACTATTAAAGATCTTGGAATCACACTTGATGGTAAACTACATTTCGATGTACATATAGAAAACATTATTAATAAATCATTTAGAATTTATGGGTTCGTCATTAGGTCAGGTGTTATGTTTAAACAAACTTCTACATTCTTATATTTATTTAAATCATTGATACGTTGTCAGCTAGAATACGCTGTATCAATATGAAATCCACTTTATGAAAAATACAATTATATGCTTGAAAAGATATAAAAAAATAAAAAAGATACAAAAGAAATATCTTCGATACATACATTTTAAATGCCACCGCAAACGATTGTCGTATAACTTGTTACTAAAGACATACAATTTAATCGATCTTAAATCTTGACGCACACAACTTGAAGTAATGTTATTACACGATCTTACTCATAATAGATATGACTCTATAGAAATATCAAACAAACTTTGTTATAGCGTAGCTCCTCGATCATTAATGAGGTCTACACGTCCGCATAGATTCTTAGCAACCTTATCCTGCCGAACAAATGCGGGCATTCGTTCTCCACTTCACCGTATGGCCAAAACATACAAGATTATTTTCAATGATATCGATATTATTGCATTACGACATACATCTTTCAAGAAATCAGTCATTGATAGGCTTGGCTTAGTAACACATAATGTAAGATGAGCTCCACTTTAACACTAGATTATATGTATAATGAGACCAGCGCTGTTGGATTCATAATGATAATTACGTTTCTTTGTTTTGAATATTTTATATATATTTAATTGTGAATCTGTTTGTGGTTCTTTAAATAAATGAAAAAAAAAGATGGGAATCATACACAGCGAATTGAGTCGCAGTGGAGAGTAGATAAGAGGTTTATTAGAAAACAAAATTAGAACAATTAACAAAATTTTGCAAACGTGTTTGTGGATTATTTGGGGAAGCTAAGTGTAGAAAAATATAAAAAGGATTCATTTAAAAAAGTTGTGCGAGTAATGAAGCATGTATATAAAATAAATTAAATTATAAAACAAAAAATCACATTGTTTCATTTAACACTATCTTAGCAGAGTTTAGGGCAACCTGACTTTATAGATTAGATAGGTCAAATGAGGTTATAGTTTCAAAAACTGCTAAGTCCAGTAGCCTTTAAATGCCAAGGGAGAGAATTTATTGTCATTTTTTTCTAGAATTACTCTAACGATTTCATTTTTCAGGCTTGTTTAGGATAAGTATATCAAATTCATATAAACATCTATTTGCAGTATAAGAATGCTTCCTGTAAATGTAAAAGACGAAAAAGTGGTGGACTTAGCAGAATTTGAAACTGAAGCTCGGACATTGCTGGTTTTGAATCTGATAAACATGGACATTGTTGTTTTTGATATGACAATTTTAAGGTATACTTCATTCAACCTAACTTGATACTTTGAAGTGCTCAATGAAAATATATAATTAATTATGTTCAAAATAAATACTTTATTTTGAACATAATTAATTAAGTTGGTAATGGGTATACTTAGAGATAAATAAAGAAATTGATAGTAACATTTTTTTAAAACTTTATTGGTAAAAATTAAATCATTAGGTCATTAAAAATTATTTGTTCTTGGCACGAAGTTTCTAGATCAACATCATTATTTTCATCCTCTTCATTTTCCACGTCATCGACTGGTACCGTATTTGGTATCAATTTGTCGTAAAAAGACAACATCTCATAACTCCTCCAGTCAGCGTCAAAGTGAGTACTTAATAATTTGTTGACATCTCTAATTTTTGTTGCTTTAAGGGTTCCCGATCCCAAGCGTATATCATGCGGATTGATCATGTTCGTATATTTGCCTTTTTTACAGACATTTCTATATGCACCGGTGTCAGCAACATAATGTATTTCACCTTTTACCAATACATTTCCAGCTGTTATTTTAGAACGCTTCAATATAAAACGCTTGCACTTCATAAAAGGCACATGCCATGTTCCAACGGGTTTTAAAACCTTTTTGGCAGCGTCTTTCCAATCTTTGACCGGACATTCTTGTCCTACTGTAATGAGACTGGAGTATTCTTTTATAATATTCGTGTAACCAGTCGGCTCCAGTATTGTGTCTCGCTTGCGAAACTCCTTCTCTATTCTCCCGAAAACACGATCTGCGGGAAGAAAAGAATGGCCCACGACAGGAAATATTATTTCCATCTTTTTTATATCTTGAGGAGCTTCTGTAAACCACTTTTGGCACATTCCTACAACAGTGGTATTCTTGTTTCGGCCGGCGCACCCATCGGCCATTAATCTTACCGTATTAATTTGAAGAGGAAATGTCGTTGCATTTAATCGATGATAGGTCGCAGATGCAATTAAATTAGAATCTTTTGGAAATCGGTCTTCAGTCCAAACATATGCAAAAGTACTGTCTTTATTTAACTGTGACTTTGAAGAGCCTGCTACAATTGTGAAATTGAAAAGATAAATCTGTCTGGAATAATATGTGCTCTGATCGGGAATTTTGGGTAGCGGCATGTTCTTTTGGCAGTCGTATGATAATATAAAAACATTCGGGGAATCTTCTTTCAAGTAATTGAAAAAAGCTTGAGCGCGTTTTTTGTGAACTCTTAACTGGATCATCAAATCACTTTTAGTTCTGTTATCTCTAGCTGCCTTAATTTTCTCCGCATATTGCAAACAGACAGAGCACACGTCGGTGCGCGGCGAACCGAATCCCAAGTTAAAATTGGTGTTAAACACATTCCTGAAATAACTTCTTTTAACTTTTAAATGTTCTGGCACTTGATTATCATATATTTTATATAACTTGTTTATATTTAGTTCGGCAGGAAGATAAAGTCTTACACTGCTACTTCCCCGGCAGTAATGCGGCTCAGAACACTTTAGTTTTTTTACAAATGCCATAACTGATGTTTTTCTGTCAAAATATTTACGAGATTTACGGTCTCCTCCTCGTCTTTCTTCTGGAATAAGTCCTTCTTTAAGAAATTTCTTTGCTATACCTTCAACACGATACTTATTAATTCCAAGTACATCTAAGAACGTTTTCTGACAAACTCTTATCATTTTCTTTATCGAGCGACTATAAATGTAATACCTTGTACTTATTACTTTTTCTTTGCGAGTTGCCTTACGTGGTCTACGTCTGTAAGTAGGACCCCCTTTTATATGTTTCAGTATAAAGGCATCCTGTGACCGTTTATCCTTATTTTTATAAAAAGCAGTATGAAATGAATTCAAATCGTTCATTTTTAGCGAATCACACTCCAATCTTTTTTTATGCGTACATTTAGGTTTTTCAGGTAATTTTTTTGCAGAATATCTGAAAAAATGGAAAACAACCTTGTAATTTATATCTAAAATGAAATTTAGCTGAGCCACACTGACGAAGTAACTTTTTAATTACGAAAGATGTTCCGTGCTTTATCAGAGATAATACAAAAAAGAGCATAGAGTACACCATATATAAAGAAAATTAACAAGGATCAATCTATTCCATCCACAATACACTGACCTCTCTAACTTCTGCCGGTTTCGCTTCCATTTTTCTGGGTTGCTCTGCCGTTTCCGAGCCTTGTTTTTATCTACAACGGTTGGGATCTTGTCCATCTTTGAAAAATATGCACATTTATTGTGAAATTTTAGCGGTAACCACTTAAATTATTTAGTTTTACTTCACGTAACGAGAGCGAGAATGTTAGTATCCGCCATACTGTTTGTTGTGACACGTGATCAAAATGGCGGCATGCCATTGGCTAAATTGGACTTAGCTGTTTCTGAAACTAACTGTGAAGGACTTTGTTGTTTTTGCTCCCAACATTCAATTTTCGAATTGATTTACTATTGGACTTTGTCAGTTATGATATGTTTGGGTTTACTGCAATTGCGTGAATTACAATAAAGTTGCCATTAGAATAAAAATGTTGTAACACAACAAAAATGGACTTTGCGGTTTTTGAAACTATACGCCTCAAATATGTACTACTAAAACCAAATCAAAACGCCCCGACTCCACGTAGTCTTGTCTGCTCTAGCCCTAGAGTGTTTTTGAAAAGCCGTAGGCGCAGAGGGAGAGCAGCCACCGCCCGCTGTAACGAATTTCCGCTCACCTCCGCACCTCTGCATCTTCGACTTATTGGTCACCTTCAGCGACCAGCCTTAGCCGCTAAAGCTCACACAGGTGACTATAATTTGGGTGCAGTCTCTTTACGCAAGGGTGAAGGGACTGCACTCCGCGTAGCGCCGAAGCCGTTGGAGAAGTAACTTTGTGTCAATATTCCCGTGTAAAAAAGTGAGGTTATTATTTTATGGGGAAAGGTTAGGGGGACTTCTTCTGAACTCCCTCACCCCTCTCCTCTGTACGCGAGTATCGGATGTCTATAGTTTTACCCAAACAGGAGGTGTCTAGAAATCCTTAACTCTGTGGAATGAAACTCGAAGATGGCATCCATTCATGTAACGAACCTCATTTCTTACATCAAAGTAGGAAATAAATCATGTTGTCAACCCCTTGTCATATATTAATAGGTAGGTAGAATTATATAACATTCTCCTAGGATTTTTATAAGGTGGCTTAATGCTATACAGACCATGAACAGAACTGTTATAATGAATTAGATTATTTTTAATAGGAAATATTGAATATGTAACAATATCCTGTTTTCAATAATAATTGCTAAATGAAAAAAAATCATGTAGATAGAAAAAAATTATTAGCAATTTACACTTACACTTTACGTTTTGTAAAGTTATACTTTACGATTTTTTTTTTATTTAGCATAAATTGTATTCCTACGTAACACAGTCTCTAAAACATTCCGAATTTTGTTACTCAAGCAAGCTTTGCTCCTTTACGTTGAATGACAGTGACACTTTCATGTCTTTGAAAATTTAATGTAAGCTAAGTGCCACCACTCACGATATATTTTCATCTTTTTGTTTTTTTAATTTTTTGTCAGCTATGAACTAATCTGTACCTATATGTTACTTATGTACTTTATGGCGTCTGCTTTTAGTAAGTCCTGAATTTTTAACTAATTATATTTTAATCAAGAGTCACAAATAAACATACAGTCCATATGATGGTAATTCGTGATGAAAATTTATACCGTCGCGAATATTCACACAACAATTTACTAAGTGGTAAAACTCCTTTTATTTTTAGGAGTCCGCCTTTTTAAGTGCCTCTCTTTTACATATCTCTTCCACCAAGCAACATTGCGTGTACTGCTGCGTTCCAGTCTGAAAGGTATAGCGAGCCAGTATAAATTACAGGCTGTGAGGAATTCCATCTTAGTAATTAGAGTCGATAAAGCATCTATCATCATTAAAGCCTATCTAATTCCACTGCTGAACATAGGCTTTACCATAGAATATCTCATAAGGGTAGTTTCATAGTTGTCACGCTTGGCAGGTAGTATGAAGAAAACATGCAGACCCGGAACAATTATCTGTAGATAATTATATGTAATTGTTCCGTATGGGATTAAATCCCGCGGCCCTTTGCTATACCACTGCGACACGAAGCCGTCAAAATAGATATTAGTCGATAATTGGCAGGTTCGTCACGATAGTCTTTTTTGGACTAAGTCTGCACATTGGCCAGCTGCCAGGATTTGGACGTTATATTAAAGCCTAAAAAGCGGTAAAACAAATCTGACAGCGCAGGAGACAATACAGGTGAGACAGCGCACGACTTTAGAACTGGTTATCCATCTGATCCACTAGCTTTTTCCACCTTCATTACTCCATCGCGTTTCTCGTTCCTCATTCCTCAATCAGTTGGGTTACATACGAGATATTATCAATCATAAAGCAGAGATTACTAATTATTCCTTCTTTGCAATTTTCACCCCTATCCTATAGTCAACAAGATTGATGGAGACAAAACGATAGCGGAAATTATCCCTATGTGTTTGTTGTCTTCATACCATACAAATAACCAAAAGAATAAATTGAATTTTTTTGACATAAAATTAAAATTACAAGCATTGACACTAAGTTGTGATAATACTGGTGAGAATAGTAAGTCGCATTCATGAAAGTATTGTATTGTCATCGGTTTTTATAACACCTGCAAAATTTCTAATTATTCAGACGTCTGGTAGTGGGTACAAAGTGAATAAAAATTCCATTTCATCCATAAATCCATACAGACACATCAAGCTCATAAATTTATGTTTATACATTTATCTATTACAGATTATTAAAGTCTTACTACTGAACAAAGGCCTCCCTTCAGACTGTCTCATAAGGGGGATATTCGATATGGTTGTCACGTTTAGAAGGCGGATTGGATCGGATTGGCAACCGCAGTTTGCTTTCTCGTTGTTAAGATGCTGTGCTGCCCATCACCTGGTTTATTTCCCTCTGTCGCCTTTTACGAAACCCACGGTACGATATGGGTAGTGTAATGGCACAGCGCAGTGACATGGCTTAACAAAAGCATATTCACTCATGCCTTGAAGACACCGCATTATAATCGGATGGAAAAACAGATGCCGGAAAATTATCTCATTCTTCTGCTATACGCCTTATAAAAGTCATTTTCTTCAATCTCGATACGATCGAATTTATTAATATATTCCCACATACACTAAATATGTCTCAACGCAGTGGTTAGTGTTTATTCTAAAATTATATTTTAATAATATACATGCTTTTGTCTTACTAGTTACTAGCTGCTTTTTCTGTGACTTATTTAGAAATTGTGCCTGAATTAACAGTATTTATAAAATAAAGAAATCAACAAAGTGAGAACAAACTTTTTACATTACTTAATAGCTTGAGGTTTTGGTAAAGTTTTTGTAACTAAGTTATGAGAGATCAAAATACTAAATAACTATGTAACACGAGGCCAATAGACAAACATAATTACGTTTTTATATTTTTAACATTAAGGGATAAAGTAAAAGCCTACATCGTCTCACTAAAGGGCGCAGGCCTACTTTTACTTTTCACCTTACTTGTTGCTGAAATATTTTTATTTTATGAGTTATACAGGTTTCCTCACAATGTTATCTTTCGCCATCAAGCACGTAAATTAGCACCCATAATTACAATTAACAATTCGTGGACTTCGTTTGCTCACACAACATGAAATTATAACGTGAACTCTTATCCGCAGAGATACTAAAGATTTATGTCTACTCTCTTCGAGAATTACTTAAGTGTACATTGAACATTAGTGTTATTATTTCATATACATAAACATAAACACTCACGCCTGTCACCCAGATGGGTAGGCAGAGACTACGGACTTCCATTTGGCGCGATCCTGACACACCTCTCTCGCCTCTTTTACATCCATATATCTACGCATACACGCTCATATACGAGCGAGCGTGTTATTATTTCAAGTGTTTTATTTGTGAATGATATAGTAAATTTTAGTCTCTCATCTCAAAATGTGTGCAAATGTCAAAAGGCAGCTGGGGATAACTAAAAGCTATTTCTCTCTCATATCAGTCTCGCATGTTAGACGCTTCTTCCCAGCAGATATTTAATAAATAATGAGACTATTGTTATTTTGCGTGACATATACAAAATAGCACACCATCATCTGTCGAAGACCATAAGGTCCCTTAAACCTTTTCTATTCTATTCGCCGCTTTCTCACGCAATAAATTCTATATGAGGGTGAAAAGATAGAAGTTACAAAATACTTAAAAAAGTTAATTAAATCTCTTAAATATGATTCTAAATAAGTTATTTAAAACAACAAGGTTATGAAGACACGATGGTTGGAATTTTTGCAAAGAAGGTACTTCAAAGTTATTAGAGAGCAACAACCGAGTGAAAGCATGTTAAAACTTCTTTTTTTCTTTTCTTTTTAAGCTAATGGTTATGAGAATAAAACACAATCTTTTATCCAGAGTATTTTAAATGAATATCAGTAATGAATATGGGTCATATTAATAGTACTCAACCAACGAGCATGTAAGTGCGTAAATATATGATCATAAAGGAGGCTAGATAGGTGTATGAGGATCATGCTACATGGAAGTCACTAGTCTCTGCCTGTAGTAATACTATTAATATTAAAAATATTTTAATCTACGGGCATTATATTCATTCGGCTCTCTAAGCTTAAAATGCTTGAACTAAGTGACAGAAAGAAGACAATAGTTTAAGGGCAGATTCTTTACGATTTTTTGCTCAATCTAGTGTAAAAATACAAAATGTTATATAATTTAAGGACAGATGGGACAGATATATAGAGAGATATACAGAAGAGTAGACATAGTGTGTTGTCAGCGTAACAAATCGTTGTGACGTTTGGCCTTTGGTTTCGTTATGTTGTCTAAATATGTCTTTTCGTGTTGATTTCAAGCTGATTCTTTTTTTTTTATATTGCATGTCATCTTATTTTAGAAACATAATTTTATCATAATAAAAAATCATGACGAGTTTGCGTATTGATTACCACCGGCAAATGATTCCCATTAGAGATTTACAATCGTACTTCTGATCTCGTAGACTCATAAGAGATAAGAGAATTTTCGGTCTCCGATGATATCGTATCTTAAACTTACACGTGATGTAGAATATTGAGAGTGTATAAAGACATTCAAAAATTACTACTCGTACTACGGTTCTAAAGTGTCATT